GAATATAGTATGAATTCAGAACTTCAAGTGGTTTTTATCTGGTGGTATGTATTCTTATGTTACAATGAGACTTCTACCCGTCTCAAAAGCATATTTTGTGCTTGGATTAATTCAGCAAATATATTTGTGTTCAAAGGGAAATAAGAAGTAACTACAAATCAGATTGATGTTTTGTTGTTTATGTCAACGCTAGCGCCTGTCTTGTCATTTCTAGCATTTTTTAGCAGTACCATAGAAGATAGCTCAAGCTGCTTATGCACCTCTTCCTCGTTATAACAGTTATGTAAGTTTTTATAGTCATCAGATTCCATATAGCCATTTCGTATTTCTATTTTCCGTTTTTAGAGTAGGATCTGTGGCTCTAATTAAAGCCTTTGTACAATTCACCTGTGCTCATGATGAAACAAGACATAATCATCTGCAAGGGGTTTATGATTTAAGGGGATTATTTTTGAGGTGGGGGCGTTTTCTAAAGCATAAAAAAAGTACAATGCAAAACAAGAATAATTTGAAAGATCTCTGTAAACCTACTGCAACTACTAAGTAACTCAAAATGTTTAGTCATATCTGCAATTCATAACATGAAAATAGTATTAAAATCACTCAGTATTGTTTGACTACCAAAATTCACATCACAAATTCGCAATGTACCAAAGCACAATTCAGAATTTCAATCAATTACACCTTTCCCCTTGCCTTTGCTAGCCCCTTATCATTCATGTCCATTTGATCTTCTACCTTTCACCTTCACCGGCAACGCTTCCGTGCCACCCACCGCTGGCCAAACGACACTGCTGTGCACTGCTCCCTCTGTGTACGCCATGCTGATGTTGACGTTGCGCTTCAGCCGCCGCCTGTGTGCCGCAGCCGCTAGGGTTCATCCATACTGCTTCATAGTGCGTGTGTTCGCTCGGCTGACAAGCTTTGTCTGCTTCGGTACTTGCTAATCAGTGGTAGCAGCAGTAGTTCATGGGCTCACAACCCAAATCATAAGGTCAACCTGCACCAGGCGACCTCGCCCGACCACATTCTTCTTTTATCGTCCCCAGTGAGAATGACGACTCAACGAGTCAATGACTCGACCTCTACATACATGTAGCTATTCTTTTGCATCAATTCAAAGTCGGGCGGCCGCCTCACCTTGCCCTATGGAGTTCTCTTCCCATATTTACGTGCACACCTGTTTCCATTTATAAATCTATTTTACCTTTGTCATTTATTGTCCTGTGATAACAAGTATTGTGCCAGTTATTGATTTTTCTCAAGAATATTCCATCGTGGCATGCAATTCTTAACTATGTGTGCATCAACCTTTTGAAGCAGACATATGATGGACGACAGTGATGAAGATTTCCATGATTCCAGCAGTGATGGTAGCAGTGATTATGAACATGTAAGGGTCAAACACTTTGCTCAGGAAGGCTTCTCAAGGGATGTTGGTGAATCTGGAGTTACTCATGGCCGCTTGCTCTTTCAGTACCTCGAGTTTGATTCTCCATTTTGCCGTGAACCTTTGACTGATAAGGCAAGAAGTTACAACTTTGTGTAGTTTTCATGGTATTTTCCTGTTCTGACAAATTTGTTGTTCAGATTTCTAGCCTTTCAGCCAGATTTCCAGGATTGAGGACCCTTAGGAGTTGTGATTTATCAGCACGGAGTTGGATGAGCATCGCTTGGTATGTTCTCTCTATATATACAAAATTGGTGCTGGATGGATGATTGCAGCAACTAATAGGTTACATTCCTTATGCATTGTGTAGGTACCCAATTTATCGTATCCCTACTGGACCAACATTAAAAGATTTAGATGCCTGCTTTCTCACTTTCCATCAGCTTTCAAATTGCCCGCAAGGAGGTAATTAGATTTGACCTTTGTTCCTCGGATCATAGGTTGAATTAGCTCGTAATGCTTGCTTCACTAGCATCGTCCTGTACTGTTTCAGATAGATGCCCCCAACACTCAGTTTCCCTCCTAAACCTGCCCCATCACTATGCATGTTTATTGTAAATTCAGTTATCATGTTCATGATCAGATTAAGTAGACATGTGAAGTCTGAAAGAATTCTATATCTAAATATCCTTTATCCTTTCTCTTTCTTCTAGTCCTCGTTCTTAAAAGTGAGCAAGTGTCAGGAGTCAAGTTCAAGTGTAGCACTTATCTTTGTTATAGCGAACTTTGTTAGTCTTACTCTGAAGTGTTTGTAGATTCACAATCATTAATCAAGTGTGAGCTGTAGCTAACATGTACTTAGGATAAGTTTGATTATCGCCCAATGAACATGGGGAGTCTTACTTTTGGCTATAGTGCTTATTTTTCTGATTGTTGGGCATGTACATACATTTAGCATGTTTTCAGTGCACTGGGGAAAGAAATGAATAGGGGACATAAAACAGCTATCCTGGCAACTCACATTTTCAGTCGGTGCCTAGCTGCCTTGGCAACTCACATCTGTGACCAGCTAGAATCTGTAAACCCAATTAATAGCAAAAAATAGGTTTTGATTTTGACAAACCTCGATGCTAGGAATTCTTGAGCTATTAAATGACTATATGGTAGTTGTATCACTGCTTTAACAAGTTCTAATGTTTTGGATGCACTGAGGTTTACCTACTGTGAGTTGTCATTTATAGAAAGAAAAAGAGAGCTTTATGTTTTTATTGCTTTTCTCTATATATAGTTTCCAGTGCATGTCTATGCCCTCTTCTATGTTAGTTAACCTTGTTAGTGAGCAATGAGATAATGGAACCTAAATGCAGTCATCCTGTGCTGCCTACCTGCCTAAATGTCGCCATCTGAATTTTATCTGCATTCCTGTGTCCAGATAATCTGTGGGCTCCTGATAGCACACCAAACATACCACTCCCAGTTTTTGGTTTGGCTTCCTACAAGTTTAGCAACTCAGTCTGGTCCTCAACTGATGGTGATTGGAAACTGGCTAGCTGCTTAAGGCAAGCTGCTGCCGATTGGCTGAGAGACAGCCGTGCCGGCCATCCAGATTATCAGTTCTTTGTCTCCCATGGTGCATACAACAGGTAGTGACACCAAATCTGTGCTTTCTGCAGAGCTCATGAAAGAATGTCCGAAGAGTGTCTTGTGAACATGATTAAGTTCTGAGTGACTGACTGGTTGACTCCTTCCAAATCTGATGCATGTTACCACAAGATTTGAAGCTTGGATGGTGAGAAGTAACCTGTCCTGCTTTGTAAATTGCACTAATAGGTAGATTTCGACCGTCATGTTTTTGTACTTGTAGTCGGTTGGTCTGTGGGAAGCTGGGACGAGAATGAAAAAAAGGAAAAAGAAAAGAGAAATGAAAAAAGGTGGTGAAAAAGCTTGCACTTCAGATGTAGTTTGAGCTGTTCAACTTATGTAATACAAATAGTATGGGGACAAATTTTGATGAAAACACCCCTCATTGTCTGTACACATATCAAGTGTTGCTGGCATTGGAGTATGTGTTGAAGAAAACTTATACTTCCTCCCAAAATAAGTGTCTCAATTTTGTACTAAAGTTAGTATAAAGTTGACACTTATTTTAGACGGAGGGAGTAGTTAGCATATGTTGTCATAGTGTACATGTAAACCCGTGAACTGACGTGTGTGATAGATTGTGTTCCTAGTTCATGATATTACCATGGTCTCAAACCACGAGTATCTGTGTAAGCTAAGTTCATGTCCTGGCAACTGGAAGACTACTAAAATCAGGCTAAAGCTAAAGCTGCAAGCACTCAAAATGAGTGTTTAAAAGGTAGAGACAAATAAATACTCCCTCCGTCCCAAAATTCTTATCTTAGATTTGTCTAAATACGGATGTATCAAGTCACGTTTTAGTATTAGATACATCCATATCTAGACAAATCTAAGACAAGAATTTTGGGACGGAGTGAGTAGTAAAAACTATCGAAAATCCGTATCCGTGCATGAGCTGAGATGCTTAGTTATGGAATTTTTTTTATATGAGACCAGGTCTCACGGTTAGCAGGTGAGACCTGCCCTGATAGATGACACGTGACATTCATAAATCACAAAGCATCTAATCTCCCCCCTCTGATTTTAGGTTGGGGGAAGGGGGAGGTGGGATAGATGCTTTGTGATTTGTGAATGTCACGTGTCATTCATCAGGATGAGTCTCACCTGCTAACCCGTGAGACCTGATCTCATAGAATTCTTTTCCCTCAGTTATTACGTTCCATCTGTTCGCTTTGACAAGGGCACCCTGTCTAATATAGTTTTAGTATTCTTGTCAATAAGTGAGTATGCCCCACCACACAATAACTACACAGATACCACACTATTGATTTGAGTGATTAATCTCTATGTATTTGCATTTTGCAGCATACATCCAACCGATGCCCCCTCAACACTGACCTGCTGGAAAAAGAGGTCGCGGCTGTTTCCCCTTCTCATCTCTTCCACCGCCCCCTTTTGAGAGTCGCTTATCCCCGGCCGGGGCGATCTGATGCCTCGTTCGTCGGCGATGCTGGCTGGCGATGGTTGAGGAGAGGTGCCTGGTTCTTCCATATGTATATTAGAGTAGCAGTAGACTTAGTTAGACTTGGCGTTATGCCATGGTGTGGCCTCATGCCAGTCGGGATACCTGCTGCTAGACCTTGTGAGCAGAGTCTGGTGGTGGTCGTCGTTGTCTCCTACCTCGCCTCCATGGTGGAGGGGACTGGTGGACATTGGATCTGGCAGTATCCCTCCCAATAAGCTCAGTCTGTCCAGCATCTAGGAGCCACGGTGGTTCCTTCCTCTGTTTCTTGCCGTCGTGGTGATGGTAGCAGAAAGGTGGAGAGATCTCGCCTCGGCCTCCTCGTGGTGCTGGGCCTCGCCGGATCCGAGCTTCCGGCGTAGGTGGTGTTATCCCCGCATCTGGGAAAGGGCTTCCGCTATCTCGTTGGAAGCTGGTGATGGGGATCCTGAGCTTATTCGATGGTGGATCTGAAGGAGCTACGACACCGGTCTCCTCCAACAATCCATCGATTCCTCTGGTCGAAGGGCGGCCATACTTGTTCCTCCCAGCCACGATGCCAGAAGGAAGGCAGTGCTGTGCCAAATTGGAGTCTGTGGCTTGCTACAGAGGTCTCGCCGGACCAAGTGGTCTGTCCCAGGCGTCGGCGATGATTGTATCCACTGCGGCACAGCGTGGACCCGATCGCGTTTTCAGTTTTATGTTTGGGGTCCTTTCTATAAGATGCAGGGATTTGTTTTTATTTTCAGCTTCTTTAGTGTCCTTGTTGTAAGCTATAATGTCTCTTCGTCATAATCAATGAAGTGCTGGGTCCTTCTGGGCCCTTGTAGTGTTCAAAAAAAAAAAAATCCAACCGACGAGCGCCTGGCTGTTTTTTAGGGAATATGCCGTTGCTTTATTTAACCAAAGCTCGGAATGTCATCCGAGATTACATCCAAGATATAGTCTGGGGGGACCAGTTCATACATAAACCCTCCCCAACACCAACTCGCGCTAGCTTATGTGCGGCGACATTTGCATATCTACTAACCCCGGAAACTCTAAACTCCACACGCGAGGCAAGCATCAGTTTTATCTCCCTAATCCATGGACCGGCCACCGACAAGTCCTCTTGCTCCTGCGTAATTCTTTGCACTGTTGACGGATTGTCAAGCTCGACATGCACCCTTTCGAGGTTCAGCTCCAGCGCCATCTGCAAAGCCCGCTCACAAGCTAAAATTTTAGTAGCCTCAGGGTCAGAAATATGTGGGAAATGGTAGCAGCTCCCAGCAATGAAGGCACCATTGTGATCACGCATCACAGTTCCACCACCGTTGCCACCAGATTTTGAGACCGCACCATCCGAGTTGATCTTGATCCACCCCTCGTCCGGCACCTCCCACTCCGTCTAGTCCTTTCAGCAGGAGTCCGAACCCTTTGCTGATGAATGCCGCGCCACTCCTGAACGTGATGCATCACATTGTCCTTTATTTCATGCGCTGGAGGTATCTGCTTCCCATCACGAGCCTCGTTGCGAGCCAGCCAAAGCCCATAGGCAGCTTGCATGATCAACTCTATCTCCTCATCCTTGGCTCTAGTGAGCCAATCAAGAAGCCATCTGTGCAGATCCCTGTGTGACACCAAACAGTCCGGCGGAGTGGCCACAAAATAGCCCGATTCGGACTCCACCACTTTCCAGAACAGCCGAGAATGGGGGCAAGACCAGAATCTATGCTGAATGGTTTCCTCCCGCCCACAAGCTGGACAGAAAACACCACCCTTGATATGCCGACGATGAAGCTCCGAGCCCACGGCGAGACCATTCCGCAACAAACGCCAGAAGTGGATCTTAACCATCCCAGGAACGTTTGTGTCCCGGAGTGCGAAGAAGGCCTTATGCTTATCAACCGAAGACGACGAGTCAGGCTGTCCCGACCTCCTCTTATTCATTGACATCCTTAAGTGAAAGGCCGAGCGGACGCTGAAAATGCCATTTTTTGTGAAGTTCCAGGCCAAGAAATCCTCCGTGCCCGGCCCTCCCACCGCGATTTTCTTAATATCAAAGGCATCCGAGGTAGAGAACATCTCATCAACCCTCTCGACATTCCAGGTCGTTCCATCCGAGTTTAACAAGTCAGCAACCTTCGTGACCCCCTGGAGATACTGCTGACCCAGTGGCCGCATGTATCCATTCCTCGGAATCCAGTTTTCATGGTGAATGTTGGGAGCCGTCACCAATTCTCCAAACTAAACCTTCCTGCAGCAGATCTCTTCAATGCAGGATGCTCCGAAAAATTTATGAAGCATTTGAGGGGCAGGTAGATGCAAGGATGGATGATGAGGACATCAATACCATTGTTACACCCACATCTCCTGCTGCTATACATACTGGACCAATTGCTAGAGCTCGCGTACGCCAATTAAATTACCAGGTACTTTCGTTTCTTGGTAATGATTCTAATGTTCATGAGAATATGATGTTGCCTAAATTGGATACATTTATTTTGCTTACAAATGAAGGGCCTAGCTTGGAGAAGGATGAACATTGGAGTAAGACCAAGCATGGAGATGATGGCATGCGCAAGGGGAACAAAAATGGAGTTACAAGTGATGATTTCAGGACTTTGAAGCCACCATAATGAGTGCATGAAGCCTTGGACGAAATATACAAGATGCCACTTTATAAATTTTGTCCCGAGCCTATTCTAGGTGCCGCGTCACCTTTTTATTGGGCCAGGCCCATGTAATTTCGAAATACATAAGTATAGGCTATTTTTAGAGTCCGTATGTGTGGGGAAACAAGAGATAGGGTTGGTTTCGTACCCCTCCACTAAGGGCCATGAAATTCCCCCTCTTCTTCCATATATACAGCCCTTAGGGCACCGTTTAGACTTTGGGTTTTGTTTAGATTAAAAGTTCGCCATAGCTGCAACTTCGCGTACTTCGTTTGTGTTCAACAACTAGACCAAGACGTCACAGAACCCCATCTTGATCAATAAAACTTTCATCTTATATTCGCAATATCCAGATTGCAATCTCAGTTTCTTGCTTGTTCTTCATTTGCTCGCAGGAAATAGACCCTCGTGGTCAGGTTGATCGTGCTCCAGCGTGGTCAATAACCTCTCGGAGTTGGTTTAGCGATTGCTAAGGCGCGACGTCCTCGCACGTACGTAGTCGGATCGTCAAAGTCTACTCCTCCGAAACGATAATCACCATCTCATCAAAAGACGGGACACCTTTGCCTCTATCAAGTGGTATCAGATTTCTAGGTTGCTCGGTGAGATTTTACAGTTTTTCGTAGTTTAGATCGAGTCTGTTCTTCATACCTACAGTCCACGAAAAAGCCACAAAAAAATTAGGGTTAGTTCATCATATCCGAACCAGTCCGAGCCTTTGCATAGTCTTTTCAGTATTTTGCTTTGTTGAATTTGCTGTTGCATCATCGTGTCAAGTTGCTGGTCTTAGCGTCTAGTCCTTTAGAGTTTCAAGTTCTGTCACAGTTTGTCACGCCGCCGCCACACCATCCTACCACCGCTACCATATACCATCACCGCTACCATATCCTACCACCGCTGCCATATACCACCACCGCTACCATATACCACCACCGCTGCCATATACCATCATATATCCACCACCAATCCGAGTTCTTTTCATATTAGGTTTGTTTTCGAGATCCATCTATTTTTCGTTTCGTGTTTCCTTGCCTAAGTAGGTTTCAAAAAAAGTCTGGAAACCACCCTTCGTTTAGGCCCAAAATTTTCCAAAAACGCACTCGACAATTTTTTTTGGCTATCCTATTTTTAGGTGTTTCCAAGAGTATTGAGACATTCGCCGTTATAGAATTTTTTCTGAGCCGTTTTTAGTTTTTGGGTCCGGGCAGTCGAAAAAAAATTGGTCGCAAAAATTTCGTGTCTATCCTGTTATCTTGACTCGGGAAGAGTTTTGAGACACTCGCCATTATAGTGATTTTTTGGCAAAAAAAATTAGAGTGTGCTCTTCCCTTGTTTCCGTGCAACGCCATGATTTTGTTAGTGTTCTAGGCTCGCATCTCTAGCACGGTCTAGCCTAGGACCAGCACAGTACTGTCTTTGAGCGTTTATTCAACTTTGCATCTCTGAATTGATGATTGCTCATCCTTTTTGCTACGATATTATAAGCCTTCCCAGCTCCACATACATCTACGTCGTGCGTTTGACTCTCCCTGGTAAGCGCTCTATCCATGCTTTGAGAGTTTTGACTACAACGGTTGCCGATCACCACTTGCTGCTGGGTATGAACTGATAAGAATTTGAGATTCGCTTGAAGGATTTGTGACTCACCACTCTCACCACCACTTCCTAGTAGTCTGTAGAATCATATTCTTTTGTGTTTCTATTGCTGCTAACCATGGCAGGATCACAAGCCGATGAGACTGATTGGAAGAACATGATGAACAAACAGCTACATGATAAATTTCAGCAAATGATGAGTGGACAGGTGCAAGATGTGCTAAACAGATTTGAAGAGGCCATGGAGAAGATAGATGACATTGAGAATACGTTCGAAACAAAGCTCGATAACAAGTTTAATGAATTGCTCGCGCGTCTTCCACAACCACCGCCGGCTACACCTGTCGCACCTCTACAACAACAACAACTACAACGACGCCCAAATCATGTGGGACAAGCACAACGCGTTCCAATTGAGCTTGGTCAAAATTCTGGTGCTGTTGTACCTATTGTTGATGCTTCTTTGGCTCCTGCTACTACTGCTGCTGGTACCCATGAGGATGATGATTATGCGGGCGATTATGAGGATGAGGTTGATCAAAATCAAAACTACGTGCAGCCACCAGCACCAGCACCGACAGGTCGACCTTAGGTATATATTCGCAATGGTCGGCCTGCACCACCACCTTAGGTACGAGATCAAGACCATGTTCCTAAACTGAAATTGAATATTCCACCGTTTGAGGGTAGATACATTCCTGATGTATA